TCCGTTCACTTTGCAAGGGACTGTTGGATGAGTTCGCGCAGTTTCCTTTGAAATGAAAAATTCCGAATGCAATGCTGTTTTCTGAGTACTTTTGCTGTCCAAAGAGATACATTAGATTTTTCTGTTAATCAATACATTTACCAGAAACATATGAGACGTTAAAGCGCATGACGCTCTCACAATCAGCTTTCCTGTCTCTATGAATGCGATCATACTATGTACGTTAACCTATCCGGCACTCTAACTTGTGCACTACACAAATTTCACGGCAACGACTTACCGAGATACAGTATCCTTTAGCGAGCGACTCGAGGACGTATGTTTTTTATTCATGTAGACGAAGATATTGATTGACAGCATGTGATACACATTTTAATTTTGCGTAATTCAACGAATTGATACTAGAAAATACCTTTTGTCGAGAAACTCTTTGAGAGAATTTTGCGTGTGATTCAAATCAAAGCGATTATTTTGGACATATTTATTGATTGGTTTGTAAGTGGACGCTTTAGAACGGTACGGCTCCAAAAATATTGCAATAACGTTTATTTGTGTTATTTAGAAGTTTTGATAGTGGGAGGAGGAAAGAGGGAGGAGCATGTTGTATTAGGGAGCGGTAGGAGGGAGGATGCCTATTATCTTGTTTGACGCTGATTACCAGGGCTGAAAAAGTTTTTGTTCTGTTTGTTATGGCTCTAGAGTATAAATTAATTATGAGCCAACCGTTGTTCAAATTTTAAAAAAATATTTCCAAAAAAGGCGCATCAACTTATTCGACAACCCATATGTTTCTACATTCTTTTGTTCCAAACTAAACTGACATGACCGGGTAGACCCAATGTAAAACATGCAGTAAAATAATGGAATTATTGTATACTAAGTCCAGAAGCATCTCTAATTAGCTTCAACCGGTCAGATCTACGGCTTTCACTTACCTTGGCATTTTTGCTCCAACAACTCCAGCAACGACTGGACCTGAGTGGATACCAGCTCTTATGTGAAGAGGCATACCGGTAATAGGATCCGTAACATTATGGGCCTCCATCAACATTCCTAAATAACTTCAATTTCTAAGTCCCCAGTATCAAGCCAATTTCATAATTTTAGAATCCGATTAGAAAGGAGCAGAATGATTTACTCGTTCGATTAGAAAAAGACAACATTCTTGACAGAAATTGGTGACCCTTCACATGGGTTTTTCACCATTGGATGTTGTCTATTTCGTTTGGAGGTCTTTTGCTACTATTCAGTCTTTGTGTTTTAAATTAGCAGATGTCTGAGCTGGCGCTAAGCAAGGCCGCATGTTGACATCTTTTACTGCCACCAGGTGCGAACTAGGTAGAAGACGGCGTCAGCGGAATGACAGTAGAACTGCTTGTTTGAGTTTAAGTTTCTATGGGTTTTTTTTGCGATTGACGTGGTGCCTTGCTTAAAAGCGAGGTCTCATTCTCGTCCAGCGACCTTTACCGCAATTCCTGTGCAAATCGAAGCTTATTCGACAATCTGCCGGCAGGTGGGAGAACGAGGGTGCATGATTTTTGAGGTTATGGTAGCGATTTGCACGCGCTCAGACCATGTCTGACGCGTCACCTCAAGGCGGTATAAAATTTTAGAAAACAAAATGGAAAACCAATAAAGACTATAAAATGACTTAATTTCTTTCATACTTAGATGGCAATTTTCTCAGTGCAGGCGACAGCATTATTTCCATCTGTTTGTGTAGCATCATCCCGATGTTGCTACTGAACTGCGGCGGCGACGTTTGCGAGGACTAGTTATTACCAGCCGAGAATTCAGCTGCTTTTCCGCGCAACGAACACGTCAGCCCATCTGGTTCGTGGCCTCCTCGATGACATTTTGTTTCGCGAGGGATGTTTCCGGTGTTCTTAGCGCCTCTGTCGGCTGTCCTTCTCATTATATGACCAGCCTCTTGATGTCTCGTTTTAGGGACGACTCCACTGGATCGCGAAGAGATATCTACCTAAAATCTGAATTGCGTAGTCCGGCGAGATGTTGAGTGCGTCGGTTATACTTCAGAGAGGATCTTTCAGCACTCTTTGGGTAGTTCGGAGGGCCTTTGACGTAGTCACAGCTCAGGCCACGTCTCAGCTAAGTAACAAGGTGCTGGAAGAACGGTTCAATCGAACAGGTGGGCTGGGAGCTCTGGGTCCATCAGGCTGTGGCTTTCTTCAGGGGTCCAAAAGCGGTTCTTCGCCTCCTGTCTAGTTCTTTATTCAGATCGTTATCCATGTTCACCGAACGCCGTAGATGTACGTGGGAAGACGTCCTATTGAAGAATCTTCTAATTCCATTTCCCGATAATCGTAAAGGGCGTTCTTCATAAACTGAGTATTCTTTGGGTTGATTCGCAGTCCTACACACTGCACTACTTCATTCAGATCCTCTAACAGTGTCTTCGCTATAGTAAATGTCACTATCAGAGAAGAGAACAATGTCGTCCGCAAAATGAAAGTTTGAGAAAAATCTCCCATCAACTCGTAGCTCTGTCGTTCCAATCCAGTAATTTCATCCACAAGGCAAGAGTAAACACATTGGCGTTAAGCTGTTGCCTTGTCAAATCCCTTCAAAATTGGTTTAGCTTCGGGAGCTATGGAAAAGCTTACTTTGTAAAGCAGGTTGTTGCAGCAGTTGACCAATGTCTGTGAGAGGGTTCAGCCCACCCCTTGGTCGACGAGCGCTGACAATATGGTATCAGTCTTAACGCTGTGACACCTCCTCCAGTCGATGAAGGTAGGACAAGAAGTAGGCCTTCTTAACAAACCTTGACAATCTTCGAATGTCTGGATGTGACCCAAGCAGGAATCCCTTGCGGACAGCTTGCTCTACAGGTTGGGCTTCATCCAGTGCCCCTTGATATGGAGGTGAGAACAACCTTCGTGAAGAGCTTGTAAAGGAAAGCAGGCATATTGCACGGTAGTTCCGAAAATATCCTAATCGCCCTTCTTGAATCTTTTCTTCAATTAAAATACAGTTTATTATAATAAGAATTCATGGGAACACCATTCCTTTGAGGAATCCCAGGTCGCACAATGACTACTCTAACATTGTGGAGTTGAGTCCAAATTTTTCGTACTATACGCATCAACTATTACGTTCGAATGTTTAAATATCAAATTTCGAGTATTCAAGTATTCGATGGATAGCTGAATATTTCGAATTATTCGGAAATTATGAACTTCAGATATTCGAATTTTCAAGTTATTCGAAAATTTTGAATTTCGATTATTCGAAGATTCGAATGATTCGAGTAAGGTTTTATTCGAATGGTCGAATAATTATTCAATTCAGCCCCCTTCTTCTGGCATCCCAATTTTGCATTGAAGTCACCATACGACGAATCTATAGAGAAATTCCCTTTAATGACTTCTTCTAAGTAGCACCTACGACTGAGTTAGCCAGACGGTGGCACTCCTGGCATGGCCTACCAGGCATCGAGAGCCGAAAACGTCAAATTTCTTCTTAGCTTAGGTGACTCTAGATAAACCTCCGCTGTACTTCGCAGTTCGACACCCAGAGTTATTGCGATGTCTGTCGAACTACGAGGGAAATCAGATAGCAGTTTCGAATAATTATAAGTCGCGATGGTCTAGCACCTCAACGTTGCGCGGAGTGACCTTGGTTCCCAAGCTGAGGAGTTTTTGGTTTACTAGATGACCAGCTAAGAATAGGTCCTTCCAAAAGCGCTACCATCTGGCTAGTTCCCAGATGGTTCTCTCATCCACATAGGTCAGCGATTGCATGTGGTAAAACTTAGTATTCCCCATCAAGGCTGCTAGACTTGTGGAATTCTATCGCCTGCACAGCATTTAATGGGAGGAAAAGCTCTGAACGCTAGATCACAACTCCTTTGTCGGATGTCATCAAGAACATTGTCAGGCTCACAGGACGCTATGGATCTCGGAAAAAAGACACTCAACGAATCGCCATGGAGATTGTTTCATACTTTGCACTTCGATGCCAGGAGGGTCTCCACCAACGCCAACTTTCACGCCCTTCTCGAAGCTGCAGGGTGCATCAACTACCACATAATCGCCTTGCAGGAAACAAAGTCTAGGAAGACGGACATGAAGCATTCTTGGTAAGGAAGTTCCATTCCACTCCCTTGTTTTGTCCATTTTGTCAATCGCATAAGATCCTATCACCTCGCCTGGCTATCCTTTGACTCCATCTTCTGCAACAGAAAACCATTACTATCATTAACTGCTTCGCCAACATCGGCAGTTGATGACTCGGAACTAGGTGCTTTTTATGAGGACAGAGGAAGTTCTCCGCAGAATTTTCCTTCTACAATTGCGTTGCGACTGAAATTAATATGATAACCGGGATACCAGATGGGGGGAGGGGGCATAGGATCGGCAGACTTGGATCAGGACTCCGGATTGAGAATTGCAACCGTTTTGTTGGGGTCTTATCCACCGCACGACTCTTTCATGGTAACTCCACCTTCATAAAGAAAGAACATCGATGGTGGACATAGGTCGCCCATGGTTCGACTCACGCGAAAATCGACTACACTCTCCAACCGAAGTTGGTGCTTACTGGACGTCTCAGTGGTATCATCCTTGTAGTGGTTCAGATGACCGTCTCCTTCGAGCAAATCAGCCAAAAGTTGGA